AGGTGAGAAGTGGTAGAAGCATGGAAATTGTCATTTATCCCTATGTGAACTCCGTTGATGAGCACGTGAGGGTGATCTGGTTGGGGACAGAAACATAACCACACTGGTCACTAGAAGGAGACTCGAGTGAATTCTAGCACTCTGTTGTTAAATCCCTCCATTACCCCCTTCTGCCAGCGCCGCCCACGTGGCGGGCACTGAGGGTCACTGCGGGAACGCGTGGGGTACACTGAGGGTCAGGGCGGGAACGCGTGGGGTACACTGAGGGTCAGGGCGGGAACGTGTGGTGGACACTGAGGGTCAGGGCAGGAACGCGTGGTGGACACTGAGGGTCAGGGCGGGAACTCGTGGACACTGAGGGTCAGGGCCGGAACCCGTGGTGGACACTGAGGGTCACGGCGGGAACGCGTGGGGGACACTGAGGGTCAGGGCGGGAATGCCTGGCGGATACTGAGGGTCAGGGCGGGAACGCGTGGTGGACACTGAGGGTCACGGCGGGAACGCGTGGGGGACACTGAGGGTCACGGCGGGAACCTGTGGGGGACACTGAGGGTCACGGCGGGAACGCGTGGGGGGCACTGAGGGTCACGGCGGGAACGCGTGGGGGACACTGAGGGTCACGGCGGGAACGCGTGGGGGACACTGAGGGTCAGGGCGGGAACGTGTGGGGGACACTGAGGGTCAGGGCGGGAACGTGTGGGGGACACTGAGGGTCAGGGCGGGAATGCGTGGTGGACACTGAGGGTCAGGGCGGGAACCTGTGGTGGACACTTAGGGTCACGGTGGGAACGCGTGGCGGGCACTGAGGGTCACGGCGGGAACCTGTGGTGGACACTGAGGGTCACGGCGGGAACGCTGGCGGGCACTGAGGGTCACGGCGGGAACGCTGAGGCGCGATGACAGGACCCTGAAGTGTCTTCTGCATGACTAAAAACGGGCGTGTGCGTTTGGTGCCACGAACGAGGACGTCAACTGTGTTCTTGTCCTTTCACTTGGGGCCCACGTGGCTCTCGTGCGAACCCTGCTAGCCCGTGCGTGGCTGCACCCAGGCCACTGCCTCACAGAGGGGACGTCCAGACCCCGGGCGAGGCGGCTTGTCTGAACCCACGCAGCCACCAGCCGCCGTCGGAGGGGGCGTGCGCGGCGCCGATGCGCGAGCGCGCTTTCTCCCGCGGCCCCCTGCGCCCCGCAAGGCCACCCGGCTGCGGCCTCTGGCCTCTGCGGCCTCTGGCCTCTGCGGCCTCAGCCTCCGCCGTGTGAGAGGGGGTTGGACCTGTGCTCGGCAAGTGTCACTGCTCTTATTATCACACGGGATTTCCTATGCATGAAGGTGACACATTTTACAGTTTGAAAATGGACCGAGTGAATCCCTTCCCAGCCTATCCAACCCCAGTTCCAGGTTCCTTCGTCCTTTCTTTTCATGAGTCCTTGTTTACTGTCTTAGATTTCTTTTATTATTCAAGTTATACTTATTATTGTTATTACCATTATCATTATTATTTAAACTATGCTTTGGTTCTTTTTTTTTTTTTGGAGACAGAGTCTCATTTTGTTGCCCAGGCTAGAGTGAGTGCCGTGGCGTCAGCCTGGCTCACAGCAACCTCAAACTACTGGGCTCGAGCGATCCTTCTGCCTCAGCCTCCCAAGTAGCTGGGACTACAGGCATGCGCCACCATGCCCGGCTAATTTTTTATATACATATCAGTTGGCCAATTAATTTCTTTCTATTTATAGTAGAGACGGGGGTCTCGCTCTTGCTCAGGCTGGTTTTGAACTCCTGACCTTGAGCAATCCGCCCGCCTCGGCCTCCCAGAGAGCTAGGATTACAGGCGTGAGCCACTGCGCCCGGCCTGGTTCTTTTAATCCATCTGTGCAGAAATGAAATGTTGGAACCTAGACTGAGCTTGTGGTTAATAAAATATGTTGATAAGTCTGTGAAAATGGAAAAAGAGGCAGTCTCTGAATAATAGGCTTTTTCCATGAACTCACCCTGGGGGTGTGGTGGACATTGTCCCTCAAAGGTTTTGTGCCCTTGTATGGCATGAGGGAAAGAAACCAAATAAATCAGGCCACGTGAGCACGAACAGAGTTCACGCGGCGCCAGCCAGGAGCACAAATGTGCTGAGAAACGGCAAGCAGATAAGCAACAAAGACACCTGACCCCGCATTTCTGCCTTTGCTGAACTGCAGGTGCTCCGCTGCAGGAGCAAGAGTAGACAGCCAAACCCACAGGAGCCGTCTCCACGCAATCACCAAGCAACGGCGGCGCGCCACCGAGCTGCTCGGCAGTCAGCTCGGGTGTGCCCGGCGTGACAAGTTTCAGGGTTCTGCGAGCTCCTTTCCTCCCCAGGGAATGGAGGGCTGCTCTGGAGCGGGCGGTGGAGAAAGCCCTAGACAGTCACGAGTGGGCCTGTGTTTCTCCACAGGTGGTGACTTTCGACGCAGGGGGAGTCAGCGGCCACAGCAACCACGTGGCCCTGTACGCGGCTGTGAGGTATGGCTCTCTGGTGATGGGTGGCTCATTTGGCTCAGGGTTTCTGGTTTCTAGAGCACTTTCCCTCGTGTTCCCTGAGCCCCATGAAAGTCACTGCGGGATTGTCCAGTTGCTCACTACGTCTCACCACGTCCTGTCTGAGAAATCTCTCTCGAGTCCTGGCGGGAGGGCCCGTCCCCTATGCAGCTGAATTGTTTTTACCCTCTGGACACTGAAAATGGGGTACGTTTGCAGCTCCTGTAGCCCATGGATGAGACTTTGACAAATGAGTTAGTTCTGTGACTCGGTTGCCTCCCGGCTTCTTTCCCCTTCCCGTAAGATGACTTATTGCGTCATCTTCCATTATGGATTTTGTTCACTACCTCAAATCTTTCTTTGGAGAAGGAGTATATACACAGATAACATGAAATCTCATTTGTTCTTCACAGTCACCCTATTCTACTGATAGTTATGTACGTTTTACTTGTAAAAACGAAATGGAACCCCAAAATACTGAGTGATGACATAGGGTCACACAGACATGGACCATGTCTCCTGTCCTCCAGTGAAGTGCTTCTCTTGGGCCCCTGACCAGCGGTGTGGGGGCCGCCCTGGCTCCTGAAGGGAAGGGCCTATCGGACACCTTCTTCTAAACAGGCCCGATGCTCTCAGGCTAGAGCAGGTGACACGTGGAGTTGGACAGGACCTCACCCGCCGTGAGCTCCAGCCACCTCCCGTACTGCGGCCGCGGCGTGTCTGCCCGGCACGGCACGGCTGAGCGATGGCAGCGGCAGCACTGGGACCCTGGCATCCTGGCTCTCCGCTCGTTACTCTGTCAGATGCGAGTGACCAGTCCAACCCGAGGACCCTCCCGTCTTGTCCCTAAATTGTACATCGCCTAGTGGAAGGTGCTATGAATGGAAATGGTCACCCATGTGGTCCCTCCAGACGGCTCTCTGTGCCGCTGCCGTGGGATTAGGGCAGGCCAGACCGCTGTCCCCTCTTGTAAAGACTGCCCGCTTCCCGGCCAGCCAGAGGCCGCAGCCGTGGAGGAGACGTGCTGCTCAGGGCATCGGGTCCCTTCACGTTCAGGAAAGACACACCCCCAGTCACAGTGCGAGATGCAGTTTTCTGTGGAGATGCATGGGAAAATGGGGCAGCCCACGCGTGGTCTCCCCAACCATGTGGTCGCCACGCTCCCAACCTGACCCTTCTTGGAGCAGAGTCCTCTGGGCGTTAAGGGCCGGGAGGGTGACTTCGGGGCGTGCACCTCCAGCGCTGCCCCTCTCCTGGGTCCCCTGACCAGCTCATACTCAGAATGGCCCCAGGGCTCTGCCCAAAGTGAGGGACAAGTCAGGTCACTCTCAGGGTCCCAGAAACCTATTGCAGGTTTTTCCACTTCTCAGGCTGTGCGGGCAGGCGGTTCCACAGTTTGCCAGCTGTCCCTCAGCGCCTGCGCCCGCCTCGCCCCCTGCAGGCAGAATGGCCGGCCCTGTCAGAAGGGTGGAGTGGGGAGGTGGAAAGGAGAAAGGAAATATCAGGAAGAAAGAGTATATTCCCCTACTTGGCCACGGTGGCTCACGCCTGTAATCCTAGCACTCAGGGAGACCAAGGCGGGCGGATCGCTCAAGGTCAGGAGTTCAAAAATATTCCCCTACCATACTCGCAATTTCAAGAGAAAAACTTTGAAGAGCCCCAAGTAGCTACCTCCATCCTCTAAGGGCGAAGCTGGGACCAGGGCGCCGGGAGCCACAGACCGGCCTCCGATTGGCTGTCCTTGGGCAAGGTGCCCACCTGGCCCCTCAGCTATAGCCAGAGGTGTGGAGTCCTGGAAGTCTGTGTGGTGACTTACGGGAAGGAAACCACCTGGGAGCCCCTGTGGAGGGGACCACGGGCAGGGCCAGCCTCCGCCACGGCCCCTCTGTTCCCTACAGACCCCTTGCGATCTCACTCTCTTGTTCTGCCCTTTCCCTCCTCCAGGGCCCTGCACTCAGAAGGGAAGTTACCTAAAGGTAAGGCCTGTCCCTCTTTCTAAAGGCTGCCACTTTCTCCCTCTAAAAACTTACCCGAGAGAAATTTGCAAACATGCAGAGGGCTGTCCCAGGCCGCGCAGAGGCCGGGAGGTCCCGGGCATGTGCCTGCAGCAGGGCTGCCTCCGATGACCAGGGAGCCGGGCTTGCCCCTCGCGACAAGCTCTCTCCCGGGGTAGGTCTTTTCCACCCCTGGCATTCTTCCTGTTTGTCCGCGCACTCACGTCCCATCCCCCAATTAATTAGCCAGGTTGTAAATGACTGACGGGTGCTTGATGGACTCATGTGCTTGAGTGGGGCTTTTTCTTACCCTTGGGGGGGTTTTTTGCCCCCCCTTGCCTTTCCTTGCTTGACACCAGGCTTAGCCTCTCTGAGCCAGTTTCTGGTCTGTCGTATCCCGCAGGTGCGATTTGATGATTCAGTGTAGGAAAACGTAGTATGTGCCCTTTCTGTGTGGGCCGACTGAGCCCGCCAAACTGTACGGTCCTTAAAAATGTGACTAGTCCATTTCATTCTTTTATCAACCCTGTGACACAGGCAGGTCTCACACTGTCAACACCATTTCACGGATTAAGAAAACTTGAGGCTCAGAGTGGTTAAGGGACAATGTCAAGTCTGTCGTCAGTCCTTGAGTGACAGAGCTGCAGCCAGGTCTCTGCCCTCCCGGTACAGCAATTCCTGTCCCCATCACCTTTCCCTTGGCCTTGAGGTAGCCAGATCCCAACCCGCGCAACCAGCCACTTCTTGTGAGGGCACGTGGCGGGTGGCAGGTAGCCAGCCGGGTCTTCAGTGGCCCTTTTGTTCTTCCTGGCCCCGGGAATGATGGGCAAAGAGCAGCTTTGGTGCCATGGCGACACCTGGCAACCCTGCGGCCACCGGCCTGCCCTGCTCTGAGCCACAGGGGAGAGGGAGGGTGCTGGGGGGAGTCTGGCTGGGGCCACCAGGCTCCTCACTGTCCCCGCCCTCCCACCAGGGTGCTCCGTGCTCACGCTGCAGTCTGTGAATGTGCTGCGCAAGTACCTCTCCCTCCTGGACCTGCCCTGGTCCCTGCTCCACGCCCGGGACGTCCTCTTCGTGCTCACCAGCGCAGAAGTGGCACGGGCCAAGGTGAGGATGGCAAATTCCTGGTCACCTCGACTTAGATCCGTGCCCCAGACCCCCGGCTCCTCAAAGCCCTGCCCTGCAGAGGCCCGGAGCGAAGGCCTTCCATGGTGGCTCAGCGTCTGTGCCTGACTGTGAGGAGCAGGCTGGACCTTGGGAGACATAGATTTTCAATGACTTTGGCCTTCTTTTCTGATTATGAAAGTGAAGATGGGCGTGGTGGCTCATGGCTATAGTCCCAGCTACTCAGGAGGCTGAGGCAGGAGGATTGCTTGAGCCCAGGAGTTCAAGACCAGCCGGGGCAACATAGCAAGATCTGCTTCAATTAAAAATAATAACGCACCTAAGTGGTCACATAAGTACTCATAATAGGCATGGCGCTCCAGGCCGTGGGAGGCGGGGGGGAGGGGGCGGCGTATGATACCTAACTAGATGAGTGACGATGTGCACCATCTGGGGGGGATGGTCCCATGATGGAGACTCAGACTTGTGGGGGCGGAGGGGGCGGGGGGAAAAGGGATTTATTGAGAACCTTAAAATCTTACCCCCATTATGAATGCCCGAAATAAAGAAAAAAATACATAATCAGTAGGACACAATCAGTGCTTTTTTAAAAGTAAATAACGACCATGCTCAGCATTCGTAGACACCATCTAGAACTCACGATAAAGACCATCAAAGGAAGAAATGAAAATTAAGAAAAATTACCTGCAATCCCACCACTCAGACAGGTAACGATTGTTAACATCAGGTGGGCTACACTCCTACCTCTTATCAGTATTATATAGGACAGCGTTTTTGTGTTTTCCTTTTTATTTCATCATATTATCGGGGGTTACCAAATATTGTTATAGGGACATATATTGCCCTCTGCCATCCGCTCCCCACGCGCATGGCAGAGCTTCAAGTGTCGGCCCATCCTGCCTGGGTGCACACCGCACTCATCAGGTACGCGTATACACTTCCTCCCCCTCGCGGGCATAAACGTTCTTTTTTTGTTTTTTTTTTTGACATTTCTGGTTACATTTCATACTTTTGCCTCTCCTTATGGCACGGGTTAGAGGGCCTTCCACACTCCACAGTCGCTCCCACAACACAGTGTGGTCTCCTCCACCGTCTGGTGAGTGTGAGACATCAGTGTAACAGTCAGGCGACCAATTGTGATGCGAGTACAACGTGAGCCCATTTTTCCCTGATCTTGTGGGGGTCGCCTCTCACTTGGATAACAGGCGCCTAAGCTTATCCAGGATACTGATAGCAACGTGCTAGCTGAGCTGTTGTTTCCTTAGAATGAGTAAAGTTCCATTGTGAGCATATACCATATTTTGATTATCCACTCATGAATTGATGGGCACTCGGGTTGTTTCCACGTCCTTGCAATAGTGAATTGTGCTGCCATAAACATTCGGGTGCAGATGTCTTTATAATAGAATGTCTTATGCTCTTTTGGGTAGGTGCCTAACAATGCTATTGCTGGGTTGAATGGTATTTCTGTTTCTAGCTGTTTGAGGTATCTCCAAATTCTTTTCCACAAAGGTTGCACTAATTTGCAGTCCCACCAGCAGTGTAAGAGTGTTCCTGTCTCTCCACCTCCTCGCCAGCATTTGTTGTTTTGGGATTTCTTGATACAGGCCATTCTCACTGGGGTTAGGTGGTATCTCATTGTGGTTTTGATTTGCATTTCTCTGATGATTAGAGATGTTGAGCATTTTTAATATGTATGCTATATATATATATATTTTTTAAATGCGATCACACAGTGCTTACTGTTTAAAACCTGCTTTAACAATATGTTATGAACATTTTCTCATGTGTGATTAAGTATTCGAGTTATATTGGCTGCCTATTATGCCATTGTATGGCTGTGCCATAAAATACATCACGAATCCCTTATAGTCGGACAGTTGATTTACCAGTTTTTCACTGTTACACACAGAGCAGTGCTCCCAGCGTGAGCCCAGGAGGATTCAGAGCTGTGGGAGGCTCTGTGGAGAGCCAGGGGGCAGCCCGCAGAAGCCGCTTTGCCAGCTGCGGGAGAGCTGGGCCCAGGGAGGCCCTGCTAGGGACACTCTCAGCTGTCAGTGGGGCGGTGGCTCTGAGTGCCACCATCATTAGGGAGACGGCAAGCGCAGGAGACTTGTTCCCCAGTTTGTCTCCAGGTGCAACCCCAGTGGACATGAGTCCATCGCTGAGGAAAGGGGAGCAGGGAGGGAAAACTGAGAGCTGAGCCAGGCGTGGTGGTGCATGCGTAGTCTCAGCTACTCAGGAGGCTGAGGTGGGACAGTCGCTGGAACCCAGGAGTTCAAGGCTGGCTTGGGCAACAAAGTGAGACCCCCACCCCATCTCATATTCTCGTTTCCTCTATAGTTCATTAATTTTGTGCTTTTTTATTTCTGTCTTCATTTATGTTTTATTCTATTCTTTTTTAAATCTCTTGAACTTGAAAGGTTAGCTTCATTTTCATTTTTGATCTTTAAGAAAAATACACTTTAATACTATTAATTTCCCTGGAGGTATTCCTTTAGCTACACTTGACAAGTTTCATGGTTCTCCCACTGCCATTTAGTTATAAGTAATTTATAGTTTCCATTGTGAGTTCCTATTTAATCTATGAGGTTTTTAGGGGTGTAGTTTATAGATTACAAATGGGCTGGGCGAGGTGGCTCATGCCTATAATCCTAGCACTCTGGGAGGCTGAGATGGGCGATCGCTCAAGGTCAGGAGTTTGAAACCAGCCTGAGCAAGAGCGAGACCCCGTCTCTATCCAAAATAGAAAGAAATTAATTGGTCAACTAAGAACATATATAGAAAAAAATTAGCTGGGTATGGTGGCACATGCCTATAGTCCCAGCTACTTGAGAGGCCGAGGCAGAAGGATCGCCTGAGCCCAGGAGTTTGAGGTTGCTGTGAGCTAGGCTGATGCCATGGCACTCACTCTAGCCCAGGCAAGAAAGTGAGACTGTCTCAAAAAAAAAAAAAAAAAAAAAGTGTGTGTCAGTCCTCATTGTTCATAGTTCCATATTCGTGAGTGTGCCTATACTTGCTAAAATTCATTTATAACTTCAAAATCAATACTCTCGGATGCTTTTGTGGTCACTCACAGACACAGAGCAGTGAAAAACCTGAGTCACGATGCACACGTGCATGCTCCCAAGCAAGGTTGAATAGGCAACACTCGCCTTCTTGTTTCAGCTCTCATGCTGTAAACAGACGTCCTTTTCCTGGTATATTTAATGCCCCATTTTTCTCATTTTTGTGGGTTTTTAAATTTTGTTGTTTGGGCCGGGCGCTGTGGCTCACGCCTGTAATCCTAGCTCTTGGGAGGCCGAGGCGGGCGGATTGCTCAAGGTCAGGAGTTCAAAACCAGCCTGAGCAAGAGCGAGACCCCGTCTCTACTATAAATAGAAAGAAATTAATTGGCCAACTGATATATATATATAAAAAATTAGCCGGGCATGGTGGCGCATGCCTGTAGTCCCAGCTACTCGGGAGGCTGAGGCAGAAGGATCACTCAAGCCCAGGAGTTTGAGGTTGCTGTGAGCTAGGCTGACGCCACGGCACTCACTCTAGCCTGGACAACAAAGTGAGACTCTGTCTCAAAAAAAAAAAAAAATTTTGTTGTTTAAAATGGCCTCTAAGAATGGTGCTAAAGTGTTGTCTTGTGTTCCTAAGCACAAGAGGCTTACATGTGTTTGATAAGCTTCATTTAGGCATGAGTCATGGTGCTATTGGCCATGAGTTCAATGCTAATGAATCAACAATATATATTACATAAGAAGTTTTGAAGTAGAAACACATAAAACAAAGTCATATGTTGATCGATATTGATCTGTTGATGAAAATGTGGCCAGAGGCTTACAAGAACCCAGCCCTGTGTTTCCCCTAGGAGCGATGGTTTAGTAGCCACTCCCTCAGTGTCCTCAGTGCCTTTATAGAACATAACTACTACAAATAGTGACAATCGACTGGATAGATGTTTGTGTGCATGTGGTCTTTTGGTTGTTGATTTATAATTTAATAGCTTTGTGGTCTGGAAATGTGGTTTACATAATACTGATTTTTAAAAATTTATTGAGATTTCCTTAGTGCCTTAATTTATGATTAGTTTTTGTAAATGTTAATATGTGTTCCTAAAAAGAACATATGTTCTCTACTTGTTGCATTCTGGGTTCTAGATATAACTAGTAGATCAAGCTTAGTGTTGGTCCAAACTTTTTTTTGGAGACAGGGTTTCACTCTGTTGCCTGGGCTGGAGTGCAGTGGCATCATCACAGCTCACAGCAACCTCAAACTCCTGGGCTCAAGTGATCCTCCCACCTGAGCCTGCTGAGTGGCTGGGACAACAGGTGTGCATCACCAAGCCTGGCTAATTTTTGTATTTTTTGTAGAGATGGGGTCTCACTATGTTACTCAGCCTGGTGTCAACCTCCTGGCCTTAAGCAATCCTCCCACCTCAGCCTTACAGGTCAAAACTTTTGCATCTTTTTTTTTACCTTTTGATTTATTACTTTCTGATACAAGTATGTAAAGATCTCCCATCTTGAATCAGGATGTGTCCATTTGTCTTTATCAATTTTTACTTAATGTGTTTTTAGGTGCAGAAAAAAAATCAAAGCTCTTATACCTTGTTAGCAGATTATTCCCTTTATTACCCTATAATGTCTCTCTTTAGTAATGGTTTCTGACTTACATACTATTTTAATAATATTGCTATACTACCTTTCTTTAGGTAGTATCTGCATGATTTATCTTTTTGTTTCTTTAATCCTTTAATATTAGGAAGTAATATTCAGGAGCTGAATGATACAGTACAATATAACTGGTAAAAACCATAATTTTGAAGGCTTTTGTTGTGATTTTTAGTTGTGTTTTCTTTTTTTTTTGAGACAGAGTCTCACTTTGTTGCCCAGGATACAGTGAGTGCCGTGGCGTCAGCCTAG